TGGCTGTGGGTTTGGAAAGGATACAGTTGGCTCTCATTATTTGCAGTAGTTATGTCCTATAAAGTTGTAAACACTGAATTGATGAATATTGAACCATTGTTCCAAGGGAGAAACAGGGTTAGGTGGTGGAGCTTCTGGTCACAACGTTTTAGTGAACCAAACAATACATCACATTGCTTTATGTGCATTTCTGTTTAAAGACGTCTTTGCAGTATATATTGTTGATTCCTATTAACATTGAACTCACAGCCAACAGCACTGTGAGTCATGCCTGAACCTAGCTTATTGAACATGTGTATTTCCTCCCTAAGACACATCTCAGCCTTCCTGTGCTTGGGAACACAAGAAAGCACTCTAGCACTAGGTTGGGGACCATTTTAAACAGCAGTTATTGAAAGAAAGCACAAAAATGTTAAAAATCTGGTACCAAGTAGACTGGAAAAAGGACCCTTGTTTACAGTATGAGAGCTGGAACAAAATGGCAGAGTATGCTTAATTCAACCTTAGCTGGTAACAAGCATGTTCAGAGATTCAAATTTTTCTGCACTCAGCACATGTCTGTAAATAACCAAAACTGTGCTACTAGTATTGCTTTGGGAGTTACCAATACATTTTAGTGAGTAGGCGAATTTGCAAATACAGAATTCATAAATAATAAGGATTGACTGTATTTTTAAAAAATCTTTTTACCTTCGAAATAGACCAGTTCCAATACTGTGACATATGCCAGCAAGACTGAGAGCTTTTTATTCATTCATTGGATTTATAAGACCCTCAAGTAGAGTTATCCTTGAGGCATATTCATCCCAATGTGAAAAATTCGATTCATAGTTCAAGTTTCTATATACCAAGGGGATAAGTGGTTCAGGCCCTGTAGGACTGGTGTGCAGAGATTATTTTCACTGTTTAAAAAACTATTGGGAACATTTGGCAGATGAATTTGAAAACTTGTTTCTCACTGGCTTTTCCTCAGGAAGTTAAGGAACCAGAAGGTGTGATCAAAGTGGTCTGTTGGATCAGAAATTCGTTGAAGCTCTGTGGTCAAGAGGAAAGTAAAATACTCCAGCCTCTTATGCAGAAAGAACTCTCATTCTGCTGCAAGGCTGGACCTCATACGCAGGTGGTCTCAAGATGCCTGTCCAGATGGGGTGGAGAGGAGGAACAGGAAGCAAGAACTGAGCTCTTCAGACTGTTTCCTCTTCTTGATCTAACCTAGGTCTGTGTTTGTGGTTCCCATTAGTTTCTTAGGTATCAGTCTCAGATCTTCAATCATCCTTGGTGCCCCTTTCCCTCTACCCAACGGATAGCCAAAGTATAACTCTTCTTTCTCTTGAATATGGATCCTTTCTATGTCTACAGACACTATATTATTCCATGCCTTCATTAACACTCTCCAAACTTATTGCCACAGTTTACCTAGGCATAGATGCCTAATGTTTTTCCCCACCTCTAGCCTCAACTCCCGTCAAGCCTAATTTTTTTGTAAAAATACCCCCTTACTCAAAAGCCTTCTGTGATTCTTCACATCTACTGATTTGATGGATATTTGATGAATATGAAACACCTCTGACTTCGAACTCATCTATGTCCATTCATGGTTCTCCCCAAAGTGATTCCAGATGCGTGTCTAGTCTCATCTATCATAATTCTTCTACATGTGTTCATATATTCTAGGCAGACTATCTTCCTTGCTAGTTTCAAAACATGACTAAATATTCCAACCCCATTACTCATCGTGTACTTTTCACCAGGTATAACTTCTTTCTGTATCTATTGTTTAAAACTAGAAACAGCATTAATGACATGTTTTTTAATTCTCCCCAAATAGGTGAAGTTTCCTCTCCTCAGACCCCTAGAGCAGTTTGCTTTTGTCTCTAATGGAATTTTACGTTTTGCTTTATCTTAATTATTTTTGTTTATATATTTCTTACCATTAGTTCTCATTAATAAAACATCCCCTCTCTCATAATCCTTAAAGGAGACCTTGCACAGAATAGGTACTCAATAAATATTTATGGAACCTGAAGGATATTTTAACTATCCTATGGTAATTTGGTAGCTGCCTCTCTAGGAAGGAAAGGAGAAAGAGGGAGAGGGATGCCATCAGGGGATTATACCTAAAGAGGTATAAGACAGCTCCAGATAAAAACTGGAATGGCCCTGGCCGGGTGGCTTGGTTGGTTAGAGCATTATCCCATACACCAAAAGGTTGCAGGTTCGATTCCCAGTCAGGGCACATATCTAGGCTGTGGGTTCGATTCCTGGTTGGGGTGCATACAGGACACACTGATTGATGTTTCTCTCTCACATTGATGATTATCTCTCTCCCTCTCTCTCTAAAAACCAATAAAACACATCCTTAGGTGAGGATTAAAAAACCCCAAAAAAACCCACTGGAGAATGTACTCCACATCCCATATTTGTAAGAGGCCACAGACGAGTCTTAGAATTCCAGAGAAATATAAATTAATTTCACAAACTCCAGAGTGTAGTGTCAAAAAGAACTGGAAATCTCAGGAATTTCCATCAAAACTTAGCTTGAACTGTTGTGGGCATCCCAGAGTTTGTGTTCTCTACAGACCTTGGCTCAGTTGTGATTCCAGGTGTGACATCAGTCCCCTGGTCATCTCTAGTCCTTGGCGGAACCAAACGGGAGGCTTTGAGGAAATACACAGGCTAGAAGCTTTGCCGTGTTGTGGTAACCACTCTGTTCTTCCCTCTCCAAACTACCATCTTAAAAAAACAAAAAAACAAACAAACACTTAAGGTGAGTATGTGTTAAGGGGGTGGACAGAGGAAGTTTGTTTATGGGTTCTCTCTAAGATAGTGGACAAAGGTAAAGGCCAGAGATTACTCTATAGACAATAAAGTAGCATGTCTGTTTTACTTTAAGATAACTATATTTCTCTAATTCTAATGTTAACCTGAGGCAAAAATGCTTCCATTCACTTACTCCATAAATAGTTATTGAGTGCCGGTTAGGTGCAGGCACTTTTCTGGGCATCGAGACACACTATTGACATTACAAGAACCTTCTCTCTCCAAGATGATCTGGGCCAGCTGCCTATGGTGACCACAAGCCTGTCAAGGTTCCCTACAGCCCTGAACTTGGTGGTTCCCTCTTACATATGAGACAGTCGTACTCAGTGAGCTGTTTGTCTGGATATCTTCCTCTGCCCCCATAAGAGTTACCCAAATAGTTTATGGAATTGAAGGAGCTCTCCTGAGATTTAAGACTTATCACCCTGGTAATACCCTGGCATGGATCCCAGGAGAGAGTATGAACTTGCTAGTAGGATGGCTCCTAGAAAAATTAAAAAAGTGATGGTCCACATAGAGAGAAGCCGGAATGCCAGAATTGTAGTGGTAGACAGTGGATGAAGGGATCAAAAGGCTGTGGGAATGGTCATGTGGCAGTGAATATGCTAGGTATGGCCAAGTGATCCACTGAATGCTTGTGTTTCAGAGCAGGAAAAGACTTGGATATTAGTTCTTGACTGGTGCAACACTGCCATTTAAATGTCTGATTGAGCATTGACCTATGAACCAGGAGATCACAGTTCAGTTCCCGGTTGGGGCACATGCCTAGGTTGTGGGCTCGATCCCCAGTGTGGGGTATGCGGGAGGTAGCCGATCAATGATTCTCTCTCATTATTGATGTTTCTATCTCTCTCTCTCCCTCTCCCTTCCTCTCTGCAATCAACAAAAATATATTTAAAAAAGAAAAAAACATAAATGTCTGATTGAGGGAGCTGCCTGTGGCTAATTCCACAACGGCTTAAGCCACTTCCAATCCACTGTGAGCCCTCTTGGCAAACTTTACACGAGAGCCCATGTGTACATTTTTTAAGTCCTCATGTCCGTCTTCTATACCCTCCTCCCCCACTAAAAAGTGGAAGGTGCGTTTCTTCTTCATTATTTTGCCTTTTCACACTCCTCCTCACATCTGCTTCTGCTACAACTGGCAACAGAAGTGCTGACCCATCATGGGAAAGGCTTTCTTGGGGACATGCAGCAGCAGGAAGTACAGGAAATCTCATGAGGTGGTCTGTTCTTGAACACTTGTCAGCCTTATTCTGCAGATTCATGAGGTATAGGGAAGCATTCAAGTTCCTGGAGAGGTAACTGGAACAGGGTCCCAGTTCTCAACTGTCTGAAGTTCACCCGTAATCAGCAAAATGACCATAGGGCACACGTTAGACTCCAGCCTGTGACCACGGAGCTAGAGGTTGAGATACTTATCATTCTAACGTCCAGGGAGCCCAGCAGCTAGCACCGACAATGAAAGGCCTCAAGCGGGGCTTTCTCTGCAAGCACTGTCATGTGCTGGCTCCTGGCAAGACATTGCTGTGGAGTCCTGGGGGAAGGGATGGTGGCCTGCTTTTGTGAGGCAACAAAGTAGCTGCTTCTAAGGGGAACACAGGGCAGTCTGGGTCATAGATCAGAGCTGACTTCTCTAGAAGACTCAGGATGGGGCCTGTGACTGCTCTTTGCATTTCTGGACAATTTAGCTAACTGGTCACACACAAATGTAAACTCAGATGAAGAAGCTTGTCCCAAGCCAGCAAACTTCTGAAAGTTTCATCACTTACTGAGAGCAAGAATGAGAGAGAGGAGAGAGAGAGAGAGAGAGAGAGAGAGAGAGAGAGAGAGAGAGAGAGAGAGAGAGAGAGAGAGAAAGGGAGGGAGGGAGGGAGGGAAGAAGAGAGGGAGGGAGGGAGGGAGGGAGGGAAGAGCCTTTCTTTGGCAAGTATTGTTTCCTGGAACAGCAAGCTCCATTCTTAGAAATGGTTGGGCTTCCCTGCTGAAGGCATTGCCTTAACACCAATACAGAAAGACTGGCCCCGCCTGATCCTCTGGTGCACACCTGGAGAGCTGGAAATTCTGAGATGGTTGGCTCTTCTCACATATACCAAAACCATTGGGCCAGGCATAGCCCCTACCTTACAAAAAGCACCTGATGGATCCAGTGGCTGACTTTATTTTTTTTTTTTTTTAAGCATAAATGGCAGGTAAACCCAATTGGAGGAAGGATGAGAAGCAAGTCAAAATATGGCCAGAGACCAGAGTTGGGCCCTGGACCAACCGTTACCCATCATGAGCCAAAAACTCCCTCTGCCACTGCGTCTGAAGAGGAACCTTCTCCAGGCTGAAAACATGAAGAGCAGAGCTGGGTATTATCAGTAGATGACAGCCTGGAATGGTGGTCCCAACATTGTGGTCAGTTGAAGATTATCATCTGACTTACTCACTGGACATACCGATAAGGCCCTTGACCTTGTGGCAGGGGTACTTTGAAATGGACCACTGTAATTAAGTTCTGAGGGTGTTTAATCAAGGGACCTAAAACAGATACATGGATACAGAAGGGTTTAGGGAATTGAAGGAAGTCTCCTGAGATATAAGACTTAACACCCTGGTAATACCCTGGCATGGATCCCAGGAGAGAGTGTGAACTTGCCGGTAGGATGGCTCCTAGAACAATAAAAAAGGTGATGGTCCACATAGAGAGAAGCCGGAATGCCAGAATTATAGTGGTAGACAGTGGATGAAGGGATCAAAAGGCTGTGGGAATGATCATGTGGCAGTGAATTTGCTAGGTATGGCCAAATGATCCACTAAATGCTCGTGTTTCACAGGAATGCCCAAAGGACAGTAGCAGAAATTGCTGCAGACCTTGGCTTGCTTATAGCAATAGGGGTAGGACCCTGAAGTAATAAAGGCCAGGAGGCAGCCCTTAACTGCCAAAGTCAAGAGGTTATAATTATTGAAAAGACTGGTGAGGTCAGAGTGAGACCTAAGGAGGCCTGATCTGTAGAGTTATGGGAACACTTAATAGAACATCGGGTTCCCAGGAGAAAGTAGATGAGATGCTGATCATGGTATTACTCAGCTTGAATCAGCAGGAAGAAAATGAAGATGGATGATGGGAGTTGAAGTGTATTTGAGAGGAGGGTGGTCATCACAATACAATCACCATCCCTTGCACAGATTCTAGATGTGGGCCAATATTCACCCTGGGACGCTGTCTGATGAGGTGGCTGGGTTTCCAGGCAACAGCCAGGGGGACCCTGCAACACCACGATGGGTGAACAGGCTATTTTTCTAGTTCTTTCCCAAAAGGAACTATGGCTATTTATTTGGGTCTCTATATACAGGGCAAAGGAAGATATCCAGATATTTTGAGGACTGTTGGGCACAGGGTCTGAACTGACATTGCTATCCAGAGGCCTACAGTATACTGGGGCATATGAGGGTAATTTAGGAAACTACTTTTCATAGTAAAATCTTCACGATTAATGTCTATTTATTTATTTGTTTGGTTAGTATCATCTCATTAGCAAACAACAAAGAGAAGTGCAAATAGGTAACCTCAATTTCCCAGAGTATATACAGGTGGGGCAAAAGTAGGTTTACTGTTGTTTGCATAGAAAATAATACAATAATTAATAAGTAACATTATAAAAATAAATATGTGTTTCATGTACTCACAACGGTAAACTTACTTTTGCCCCACCCTGTACAGGGGTAGTAGTACTTTATATGACCAGTGTCAAATCTTATACTATGAAAATACCCATTTCAAAGCCCAGGAAAAAGCCAGTGATTTCAGTACTCACGATCCCAAAAGCAGAACTGTCCTCAGAGGACTGTTGCTAGCATGGAAGGAGAGAGTGAATATGAAAATACTTTGTAAACCATGAGGCCCTAGACATGGGTGGGTGCTGATGATGATAGTGGTAGTTACAGAGATGATGGTGATACAGACCAATTTGTTAACCTTGAATAACCATTTCCCTTGCATGCTTCTCTCTAGATAGTTTACTAGAAGCTCTGTCATGCATGTCTCTTGTTCAACCAGGTCCCTCCTCCCTCACAATCTCAGTGGGTTCCACTCTATGGACCATAGATGTCAACACTGGCCTGTCCCACATAATGTGCGTCAACATTAGTCAAAGGGTGGAGTACAGAAAAGAAGGGGCATGACAACGAGGAAGGCCTGTCTAATGATCCCCAGGAAAGCGTCATAAATCTCTTGTCTTTACACCACACGGACTGCTCACTTTCTAATGGCTAAATTCTCTCGAGACAGTTACGTAGAAATTTCCACTTTGGTGGGGAAGGCAGACATAGTAAAACATTGTAAAAGTACACATAAGTATCCCAGGTTCTCAGAGCACACAGCTACAATTTCATTTTGGTTGGAAGATAAAAAGACTTTATGGAGGAATTAGGAGTGAGGAAAAAAAAGAATAAAAGTTAAACAAATGCGAGAGGTTTATTAATCTTTCCAAGTGTTGTGGTTGTTGTTTTTTGTTTTGTTTTGTTTTGTTTTTAGAGGAGAAAAGTATTAGTATCCTTATCTCAGTGCTTCTTCCATATCTATTATAGCCCTTATTCTGGCAGTTGAAAACTTCTTCCTCTAACATTTGGGGATTTTTTTTCCTCCAGAGAGCTGTTCCATCTGCCTATTGATACTGGTTGATACATCTTTGACCAAAACAACTGTGTATAGGAAAAAAAAAAAATCTCAGTTCTTCAGGATCAGGGCAGGAAGTTAAAGGTAATAAATCTGACCCTCTCCCAAGCCTTGGCCAGGAGGCATATCCATTGAGTCATCTCAGCCTCGTGGAACTCTATCAATGACAACACCTCTCTTTAGAAGGACAGGGGAGAGTTTGTAAGAACTCTTACAACTCACTGTGGGACCATTATCTGCCCCATCTGTCCTCATCACAGCACTTGAACTTCAATCCTTTGAGGATGGCATGATCAGAGATTTTTGTTGTTGTTTGCTTTTAAACTCTGGAAACCTACCCAAATGCTATTGTGTTTCATCTTGCTGGCTTCATCCCCCCCTGTGTGTTCTAGCCACTAGTGTCTGGCACTTCAGTCACAGCCAAGTTCCTCATGAGAGTTTTGGGGGACAAAAGTAGACACTCTTCATATTGACACTTTTGATGGGAAGATCAAGCAGAAGTATAGGAGTGTAAATAGAAAGGCTCGAGAGAAAGCTCTCTGTGTGAGCAGATCCCAGAGTGTCATGGGCTGCACTGGGTGGAGGGTGGAGTTCGACCAGAAACCTGGTGAAGGCTTGTCCTCTCCCTGAGCCCCCCTGGCTCACAGCAGAACTAAATGATGGCTCCGTAGAGTCTGTCTTCCGTGTGGTCAGTGTGGCCTCTGGTGGCAGACTGCCTTGGCTTTGCAGAGAGTTCATGTGAAGCCAAGACTGGGGGACTCACCTGAAATAAGTCAAAGACAAGTTCTCATTCTGTTATGGGCACTTGTGAAGGTAAACTGAGAAAGGAAGTGAGGGGATCAAGTGTGCATGGTTGGGGTCAGAGAGTGAGAGAGTAAAAAAGGGAACGTACAAGGTATCTAGGGGGATTTGGGCCCCTTCACAAGAACGCTTGAGGTGAGGGGTGTCCTCGTGATCCTAAAATGGGCTGAGATGGCCATTTGTTTATCCTATATAAAAATGTCTCCGTCCACACAGTGATCTTCCATAGGAGAGAGCTATACTTGTATTGTGTGTGTATTTTTTAATGCACGTGTATTTTTAAGTTAAAGGTGTGTGTGCATTTTTAAAAACGTGCTTTAAATCACCCAGGAAGGTAATATGCACCTTTGCTAAGTCAAAAGATACCTCCTGAGTGCTCCAGGGTAGACTAAATTTAGCAGCCTTTATTAATGCTCTAATGAATGTGAATAACTAAAAATTAATGCTATGCCCTGTGGAAAGTTGGGTCCTCTCCTGAGCTTCCGGAACATTCCATGCCAAGAAACCACCTTGATTTCACCTTCCTAAGAGCCAGGATAAAGGAGTTGGGGCTGTTTCATGTTGGGCAGACTGATTTGGGTGACCAGATTTCATGAAGAAATATAAAACAACAATGACACATTGCTTCAGATTTGCCCAGAACCAATCAAGACCCCCAATGGATACTACCTAACTCTATGCATACCATGATTTTTCCTATTCCTTTCACTTAAAAGAAATACCTTAGTGCTTGTCTTTGGCAATCCAAATTGCCAGAATCACTATTCTTGTACTTTGGGACCATAATTAAGTGAAATAAAGGTTACTTGCACAGACGCACTGTGATACCACAACAGTTGATCTAATAACCACAACGGCTAAGTCACTAATGGGCAGGGAAAATATACAACATGAATATACTGGACACAGGGATGATTCATACTCCGGCAGCATGGAGTGGGATCACGCTACTCAGAATGACATGCAGTGTAAAACTTACAAACTGTTCACTAGTATTTCTGCATTTTTTCATTTACTATTTTCAGACCATGGTGACTGCTATAGTAATTGCTGTTCCACTGGCTCCTCCTGTTTCTCTGTGAGATCTCTCCCTCCAGTTGATTCCTGGGGGTGCCCAGGGGTCTCGTGCTCCCACATGGCATGTGTTTCCTCCTCTGACATGTGCTCTGATGGATGCTCACTGCCTGAGAAGCCTCTGAGGACCACAGCTGCCGGTGCCCTCCATGGCAGTGCTGCTGCCGCCCCCCCTCCCCCCGGGTGTCCCCAAAGCTCTGTGGAGCGATGCGCTGTCACAGTCTCAGAAGCCCAAAACGCCACAGCGCGGACACAGAAACAGACGAATGTTCCTCCTTCCCACTTTCAGTTGCCCCATGTTGTCCTGGCATCAGATTTCTCCTTTTCACATCTCCTCCAACTTTGAAAACTGTTGCAGCTTCAGCATGCAGTTCCTCTTTCCCTGGGGCCAAGGCAATGATCTGCTGCTGCCTGAGGTCCCCACTCCCACTCCTGCCACCTAAATCGCTTTCTGTCACACACACCCAGTCAGGCCTGAATCCCTGCATTGGGCACTAGTTAGGCTGAAGTGGGGCCCCTGATATGTTCTTCAAAGGAAAAAATAAAATAAACAAGTTATAGGAATCCTGAGGCTATTCCTCTTAAGGACTATTCGTGGAAGCAGGGAAATTAAACACAGTGTCCTTGAATATATACCCTCCACATCTCAGCTTGGCCTATTGTTTCCTTGATAATGACAAGACACCCATGGGAGTCGGGGAAGGCGCACTGACTGCCGTGCAGCACAATCGCATGGGGCTGCAGCCGGTATCGGGAGGAAATGAGGACAAAGCTATATTGTCAGGAAGCCTGAAGGCTGACCCAAACACAGCAGGGCTCCAGAAATTATTGTGGCAAGTGCTTCCTGCATAGCTGCCTGTGGCCGTTCAACCCAGTCCTCGGTCAGACTGGACTTGGAGAAGAAAACTACCGGTCACTGGGCAGAGAACCCTGGGTGTTGCTATTCAATGAAGGGGAGAAACATACAGAGAAAAACAAGGATAGTGGAGTGAGCCACAGCTCCGGGGAAACCCACTGTCTGCCCTCACTCTCTATCTCCTCCTCAATGTCCCTTTCTGGGGCTCAAATGTTCTTTGAGTTCTATAGGCCTTTGTCAGCAGGAGAAGACATTGATTTCACTAAACACATACGTTTTTAGAGGAGCTTCTCCCTCCTCATTTGATTCACTGGGGGCTCAATGAGGGTAAGAAATCCCAGAGGCAAAGGGGAGGTGAGCCAAGATTCTTTAGTAGTGAATTGTGGGGCTGGAAAAATTGTCAAAGTGGAATCTACAATGGGTTCTGTCTTCCATAAGATCCTTGAGCCCTTCTGCTTCTCTTGATAATTACATGGCTATTCCCCACGTAGCTTTAAATGCCCTACCTCAGGATATGGAGGCCATTGGGTATGTGTGCTTAAGCCGCAGTTTGGGCAAAATTAAATTTCTTTGGAATCACAGTCTACCAAGCCTTTCTGGTTGAAACGTTTGTGGTATTAGTAAATCAGTTCCTTTTTGAAGAGTGTGGAAGCTGTGGAGATAACCTGCAAAGAGAGTGTAGATGAAACTGAATATGAAGTGAGAAAAGGGGAAGAACTTCTGTTAATGAGCTAGTCAGTTCCCATAGGTGACAGCTGGCTTGGGGATTCATTTATTCATTCATGTGTGTTTTTATTCATTTATCCATTCATTCAACACCCGTTCATGGAACCCCGTTATGTGCTAAGCACTATGGTGTTAGGAGTAGATGAGTGAACAAAATAAAAAAGGGTGCTGCTCTCTCAGAGCTTGAAACCTGGCAAGGGAGACGGACTAATAGGAGACAAATAAATTATGTAACTGTAATTATGGTAAGAGTTAGGAAGGAGAAGCACAGAGTGCTATGAAATCAAATAGCAGGGGTGGTGATAGGTCGGAAAATTTCCATGTGGAAAGTTGAGCCCTGAAGGATTAGCCAGATGAAGAGGAGGAGGGTTGGGGGAAATTATCTAAACAGGAAATAACAGCATGAGTGAAGAGAGGCAGGTGAAAAGGGAAATCTCAAAAACAACAACAATGAAACCATCCGTAAAGGGCAAATGGGCAAAACTCATGAAGAGAAGGCAGAACAAAATAAGGACAAATCACAGTGGGACCAAAATCTCCCAAACAGCTGCCAACCGTGGCAGGGGTGTGGGTGCAGAGCCCTCTCCATCCAGCCTGGCTTCCGTCCATCCCACATTGATAGCAAAAGGCCTTTTTTGCTCAAGTCCTTCATGGTCCAAGATGTTACCCTAAGCCGGATGGATGCCGTGGATTATTTATAAAATTATAAAGAATGACAAATGACAGAGTGGCAGAGTTGGAGGTGGGGCTGAAGCCTCTGGTGGGCAGGCAGTGTCTGGGCAAGTGATGGCAAACCTCTGACACGCGAACTCATTTTTTTGGTTGATTTTTCTTTGTTAAATGGCATTTAAATATATAAAATAAATATCAAAAATATAAATCTTTGTTTCACTATGGTTGCAAATATCAAAAAATTTCTATATGTGACACGGCACCAGAGTTAAGTTAGGGTTTTTCAAAATGCTGACATGCCGAGCTCAAAAGGTTCGCCATCACTGGGCACTTGGTGTGCATGATCTCATTTAGCGTTCAAATAGCCCTGGGTGGTGGATCGCACAAGTTTTATCTCCTCAAGAGGAATTGCAGCTCAGAGAATGTAAATGACTTGCACAGAGAGGTGAAGGCAGAGATGAACCAGACTATTGGTCTGACTCTCATGAATACTGTGCTCCCATAATGCTTTGCAACCTTAGAATAACCTATAGTTATCTGGTCCCTCTTACTGAGGACTTAGGAGACTCATGTAAGGGCTGAGGGATTAGTGGCAAATGTAGAGCTAGACTTCTGGTTCCCAACTGCTAACCCATACATCTTCCCAGTTTCTTCCTGTTTTATAAATGTAGTA